ATAATAATGTATCCAAATTACAAGTAGGTTAGCTTAAATTATCTTTTCCGGTAATCAAATACATTTCCATGTATAAATAAGTAAGTAATGTCGTTAAGTAATAAAGTACATACACATACATTCAATCATAAGGCATACTGAATATTTAGAGACTGATAACACTACTCTACTTCCCCTATCGGATTTCAAGAGGGTTTCGAACTCATGGCCTAAAAGTTGAGTGCCAAGTTCCTAGATCAATAAATAGCAACTATGCTTTTGCAGATGGTTGATTGTGTACTGTCATTTTATATTCAAAAAAAAAAATCATTAATTCCACATTTATTTTCTTCGTGTTTAATTATTATATTAAGAATTACATATAAGAATTCTATCACCTTAATACGGTACAATTTTCAGACTATTCATGTATTATGGTGAATCTCATCTGGTAAACAGTGAGTACAAACGAATCTACAGATAAAGTTCTAATCCATTAAAAATGTAATCTTATAGTAACAAACAAGTTAGCGGTTCAAATAACTTAGCTTTCTACAACGTTTGATTGAAGTATTTCAATTTTTCAGTCTTAAGTCTTATTGCTTTTTAACTCGGTGTATTTATATGAGTTGTAGCAACTTGAACAGTTACACAATAGTAGTTTAAAGCCCTATTTTATTCCTGACTGACCACCTAGGTTATTGAAATATTTTTTACCTAGATGACATCAGATAATATAGATGGAAATAGATCACATTGGTATGGCCTACTACCGAGTGAATGGTTTATTGAAGTCATTGGACTGGTGTCGCTGAAGTAGCTCTGCCGCTCTACTGATGCCGCGAAGACGACCTACTTTGATTAGTTAGAGGAAGTAAACGTCGTAACAAGGTTTCCGTAGGTGAATCTGTGGGAAGATTATTACCAGATATCCTTATATATATAAAAAGCAAGCTGAGATGGTTAGCGGGTTCACCTAGGCAAAATGTATTGGTTACAAGTCCATTCTCATCCTGATGATATATAAATACGGTGTGCTGAAACACGCTATTAAAATCCTCATATCAAGAAGGATATTCGATAATTTTTTGGCGGTTCTTCATTGATGTTTTCGCTTGCTAAAAATGCTTTCTGAACATGTTATGAAAATATATTTCTGCTGTATATAATGTATCTTTAATAAATTCAATTTATCGATACATATTTAAGGTACTAGGTGATGATTTTCAAACAATCTTTCATTGGGAAAAATACCAACTGACTAACTAACTAGTCAGTAATGGTAAAGTCCCCAATTTCTAAAAAACATACAATATCCTATCTCTATTTCACAATATTTAACTTCATTGCATATTATGCTGATTGTGAAATTTTTTGAATCAATCACCTTTTTCAATGTAACCAAGACCGAAGTTGTAGAGTAAAAGGACCCTTTTTCACTTTAAGATTTCCCTTCAACTACATCCACCGTAAAGTTAAACATGGAATTAAAGAGATTGTACCTTTGATTTTCAGTGGACATAACTAAATGCAATCTCAGCATGTTTAAAAAAAATTCAAAACATGATTTTTTTTTGAATATTTCAGCAAAATATTACGCTGAAGAAGCTGTAGCCTACAAAACGCGAAACGTTTAGCACTATCTACTTTTGATTTTCTGAACACTCTAGGTTTATATTATTGCTTACTTTTATAATTGTTAAATCAAATTTTCTTGCTTAAACTCTTCTATGACACTTGTAGAAACTATATACTCGATGTTTATGAAAGTTGTTCACTTGATCAAATGGTAATCGGACCTTTGATGACATTAACATTTAAAGGGATAACTGAAAGACTGTCTATCTTATAAGTAATTGAAAAAAAGATTGAAGAATTTTAAGAAATAATTTGCAGTTAAATTTACCAAAGATCAGTGTATGAAAAGAAAATTGATGAGTATCATATGAAAGATACTAGACTGCAATGAGATCAGTGGATCAAAATTGTTGATGAATAGAGGTTATATGTTTTAGCTGATTTAATGTTACTAGGACTAAGTTATACTTATCACATTTTCAACTGACCTGCGAAGGTTAGGCTGAAATCAGTAGAATTCAATGTATCTATTAAAATTAAATAGTGCTGAACTTCTCTGTTTGTTGATAATCGTTAAACCAACCCACTCATTGGTATCCCAGTCTATAAAAAGGGAGATGAACCTTCTTTTGACAACCACAGAGGAATTAATTTGAATGATATTGTGTTCAAGATCCTACGATTCATAGTTAATCGACACCTACCTGGAGCTCCTAAACAGCAAAGTCGAGAAAATGAGACAGGTTTCAGACCTGAACGAGGGTGCCTTGATCATACTGTTATCCTACAACAGACTTTAGAACACAAGCATACCCACTTGTGGCCGATACTTGCCACATTTCTTGACCTGAAGGTGACTTTTGACCGTCAACTGCGTGGTGTTGTAGCAGTGTCTGACTGTGAAGGGAGTGCCGAGAAAGTGTATAATCCTAATCAAAACTGTCCACGCGAACTTAAGCATCCGTGTAGGGGCTGCCTCATGGAGAGTTGTCGTCTGAATTGTCGACAACTGATTGTGTCCGCCTGGGATACTTTTTCCATCGTTCCTATTTAACTTCATTATCAGCATACCAGTGAACATAATCTTAGATGTGTCTGACTTCAAAGGCATAGACCTAATCGCTTGTGGTTATCTGGTTGACTTGGAGTATGTAGAGGATATTCTGCTGCTGGGTGACGACGCTGACAAAATGCAGAGTCTTGTGAACGCGTTGAGAAGCAATTTGCTTATGCTTGATATACCCTTCACACATGTCAAATGTAGGATGATGCTCCAGGACTGATCTACAGCTGCTCTCAGTTGAATGATAGGGACTGAAGTGGAGGAACATCTCGACCAATTCACTTACTTGTGTCACCCGTGACGTCGGCGAAATATCCGACTACCTATTAAAGGATGAGAATACTACGCTGCAGTCTGTCCTGTCCCGTTATATGGCTGAGACGGCTGTTAAAAGTAGATGATACGAAGTGATTACCAAGTTCCGATCACAGATGTCTTCGTAGGATTGCTCGCGTTTGGTGGAATCACCGTGTGAGCAATGCTGAGGTCAGGCGCAGGGTATTAGGCAAGATAGGCGATAGTAACCCGTCACAAATTCATATGGTAGTCGAGCAAAACCCTTGGTGACTGAAGTGGAATAAAAATACGGTCAGCAGTCGGGCTTTGTTGGTCAGGTGATAGAACATTGAGCCAGAAACCCAGTGGTCACTGGTCCGAATCAAGCCGCAATCGAAGTTTTCATTTCACCTTCAATTATCACCCAGTATAAATACTAATCTGCAAACCACGGTTATCTCAAATAGTCAAAATAATACAAAATGTATCATCATCTCATCAACTTTCCTTCTTTCTAAACTTCTGTACATTTATTATTATTATTAATATTATTATTTATTTATTTATTTATTTGTCCCTTGGGTTCCTAGTGGAACATAGGGCTTCAGAAGCACGTCTCCATTCCACTCTCTTATCTGCAATCTTTTGAACGTGGATCCACGACAGCCCAGAAGCTGTCGTTTCTTCCTCATATGATCTCCTCCATGTCACCCTCAGCTGGGACGTCGAGCTCGTCGTCTCCCCTTTGGGGTCCACTCGACGGCCTGGCCTGGCGCGTGATGTCCCCAATCGGCATTCTCAGTGCATGTCCAATCCATCTCCACTTCCTTCCAGTGCATATTTGTTGAGTGATAGGTTCTTGGTTGTTGATGAATATCTGAATTTTGTTCGAAATCCCTTTCGTAACGCGCAAAGTCTCTCAGCCATACAGAAGCACCGACTTGACTGACGTTGGTGTTGAAAATCTGGATCTCGTTCCACATGCTGAGTGCAGGAGATGTCCACCCTGGTTTCAGATTAATGAACGCCCGTCTTGCTGTCTTTCCGATCCTGGCTTTCACGTCCTCGTCTCTGTCGCATTTAGTTGAAACGATGCTGCCTAGATAGGTGAAAGAGGTTACTTCCTTTAACTTTCTCCCATTGATAGTGATTGAAGCTTGTTGTTGTTGTTGATGATGGTAGGATATCTTCATGACCTCTGTGTTCTCTGCGTTCACTTGAAGTCCTATCTTCGCTGCCCTGCCTCTTCTGTCAACTTCTTAGTTTTTGCCTGTTTAACTAGTTCACTAGTTACTAGCCGATCCTAAGCCCGGGTAAAGAGGGAAGGTTGGGCGTAGGGCTAGCCACCATACTCCGTGAAACCAATCCAAACGCTAAAGAAACTTCAAAGCACAAACCTTCCGTACATAGTTCCAGTTTATTAAAGTTATGGGATTTAGTTTAAAATAAATTGTGGTGATGTCAACCAATCTACACCCAAGTTTTATCTTTATACTCATAATCTATCTCTGTGTTTCCATTGTATTATTTCCTTTCTGTATTTTAGCTTTTTGAAACTTGATTTATCTTTCTTTTACAACTAACTGTTTAACGTCTAATTTGATATATCAATGTAGGAATTTATAAATTGAACTATTTGACAGTTATACAACATTCTATGTTGTTGTTATTTTTCTAGTTGTTTTGGGCTTTTTCTGAAGGCTACAACTTATTTACGTATAATTCTTATAAAAAGTCATGATTTGGGTTTTGGAATACAAAAATGTTCTTACCACTGTATCTCCACAATACTAAGTAGATGTCCGGTTACCTTCACGGGGTTACTTTCATAGTCTATTCAATTTGTCGCTTATTTCATTTTTCCTATCAGCTATATATATGATAATGTGCTTCTGTATTCACTAAATGGAATGTAAATTAACTTACTTTGAAGTTAGAATTAAATTGTTCATAAAAGAAGAGCATTTCTGAAAATTGCAGGATATCTTCTATCTTCTCCTGGTTAACTTTTACCAGTCTCCAGTCAGTATGATATACTTTCTGCTTTTAGTTATCATATTGTCATTCCTACTGTTTTCATTATCTTCTACTTTCTATGCAATAGGTCCTAATATTCAAGATGATATTTTTGGTTCATCGTCAATAGTTACAAGTAAACACTTACAAATTGTAATCGAGAGCGCATTCAATTGGCTGTACTACTGGTATATACTAAAACCTATTTCATCAGAATATAGTTTTCTGATTGGTTATAGTATGCTATAGTATGTTATAGTATGCTACGTGCTTTAGGATTACAACCTGTTGTTTCTTTACCTAAATCAGAAATTGATTTGGAGCTAGAGTCCATATTTATTGGTTCACCTATGACATTTGGTGAGCTATGTCGAAACATTTTGGGAATTATTGGGTATGTTTACTTCATGTGTAAAACTATATTTGAATATTTTACCATAATAAATTTCAATCTTAACTGGAATTTATCCCTCAAAGACTTTAAACTTGCTTCTTATTCTACTTTGAAATTTACTCAATAATCACTTGCACGCTAGTGCAGTTGGCGAAGAGTCACACGGATTGTTTGAGGTCTAACTAGCTACCAAGAACTCAGTAGATGGAACAGGGTTCGAACTCATGACTTATCGGTTAATAGTCAGTGGCCTAGACTAGGAAAAGACAAAATCAACGTAGAAGGTCGCATAAAAGTGCATCTGTTCAAACTGTCATACTTGACATCAGCACTGGAACAACAAAAAGTCACAAGAAGAATATCTTAGTTAACAAAAGTGTATGGTAGGAGTAAGAATTTGAAAAAAAAAATTTATTGAAAATATTCGAAGACATTACTATGACTGACTTTCAGTCAAGTAACTACGAGCTTCCAACCATTGATTTCTCAACCGAGTAGTGTACACCGTAGTTCAATGCGCCACAGTTACATATTCTTCTTGGAAATGAATCAGATAATATGAAAGCAAATGAAGAGGGATATCATGAATCCTATAACTCAACTTGTAGTCAGTATGATGACCATTAGAAAGATAACCCCGAAACTCTGTCATTGCATCGATAATTTTGCACTATCTGTAATATACTTTTCTACCCGTCTACTTTTGTCGCCTAAATTACTATAAACAATCTAATTCTTGATAGTAGCGAAATATACATATAGTTTTCATATTTTTTGACACACATCAAAGCGGAACATTTACAATCTTATGTGAAACTATAATTTTTCATCTAAGATTTAAATCCATACTAACTATGTTTGCCGTTAGAAACGTTTTGTTACAGCTCATTGAGACGCAAGTGACCTCTTGAAGTGAATTAGATGTATTGAATAACCATTTTGTGATGACTGATGTCATGTTCTGTAAATCACTTTCGTAGTATAATCACGGACCGATTCACTTTACTTGATATCATTATTATTATTATATTTATTATTTGTCCGTTTGGTTCCTAATGAAACATAGGGCTTCAGTAGCACGTCTCCATTCCACTCTCTTATCTGCAATCTTTTGAACGTGGATCCACGACAGCCCAGAAGCTTTCGTTTCTTCCTCACATTATCTTCTCAATGTCACCCTCAGCTGGGACGTCGAGCTCGTCGTCTCCCCTTTGGGGTCCACTCGACGGCCTGGCCTGGCGCGCGATGTCCCGGTCGGCATTCTCAGTGCATGTCCAATCCATCTCCACTTCCTTCCAGTGCATATTTGTTGGACGATAGGTTGTTGGTTGGTTCGTTGACAGTCAGCCAGACTTCCTTGTTGCTTATTCTTTCTGGCCATCTGATCTTCAGTAACGAGCCAGTGTAGGCAGTTGTTGATGAATATCTGTAGTTTGTTGAGAATGCTTTCCGTGACGCGCTAAGTTTATGAACCATCAAAATGAAGCACTGACTTGACTGACGTTGGTGTTGAAAATCTGGATCTTGAAATATATGCAAATAAATATTTATTTAGTGAATATAAATGTATAAATTAGTTAATTTACATTAACACCTATAAACCTTTTTTTAATTGTTTAACTGTGTAGGTTATCAAAAACAAGTATAGCATTATCGTGGGAAGTTTCTTCAAAAGAAGCTATGAAAAGTCCAAAGCATTTTTTAGAGTTTTTAAACTTGCAATTAGTATCTAATTGTGTCAAATAAAAAGTGTTTTAAAAGATTAGTAGTTATTTGAATGTACTTTTCAAATGAGTTTTTTTTACCTTCTAATATGTACTCTATAAAATCTATTTACATTCAGTGCTAATTAGAATTGGTGACTGTTGAGTCAAACTAAGCCAAACATGAGGGCAGGTATTCAACAACGGAATTCGATGAAGGTTGCGCTATATCGCTAACTGACAAAAGTTGGGAAATGTTTATCATTAGATTCTGATCCTATGACTTGGTGGTTATGACCTCACCGCGGAACCTGAAGGCTATGGGTTCCATTCCTCGTTGGTTTCCACTGCCAAGGAGACCCACACAAGGTTGAAACAGTTGTCCAGTACTCTTAGGTGTTCAGTGGTTCTCCAACTTATGTCAATCCATAATGAATACCAACTGAACATCAATAAAATCCCCACAGATCAGCAAATTCATTTATTTGAACAATGTAAGAACAATGACGTTCGCAGAACAAAGTGAGCCTATTTTACTTCATGGTCTTTCATCAGCTGCGAACGGCCTACAGTTGAAATGAAGTATTAGTAGTTATAATGACATAACTTACTTTAAATATGTAGAAATAAATGAAGATTTGAAACCCAGGATATATTTACGCTTCATCTTGAACATGTCTGAACTCTGACCAAAAAACGACATTCTACTGAAGTTAAGTCGACGATACTTTCATAGTTTGTAATAATATGAATCATGCGTCAAAGACGTTCAATACCTTCAACAAAGCTCATCCAAATATGAATTTTATAGTGGAATACGGAAGTGAGAATAGATTTAATTTTCTGGATCTGAGTATAAGACGAAGATGTGATGGTGCAGTTCAGGAAATTATCCACAGGACAGATACGTGGACTAGTCAGGATCTTTACCACAATAGTTTCTGCCCCATGAGTGTGGTTTAGTCAGGACACTCTTTACTGGAATAAGAACAATAGGCTGAAAAGATAAACAATAAAAAGAATTCGGTATCATTGAGAAGACTGTTATCGAAAATGGATATTCGAAGAAATTCATCATGAAACATAGGAAAGAATTTATTGAGAGACCGGAACATCCAACTCATTAGAAAAACTTGTTTTTCTCCGCCTAGCATTTAAGGCTGATGAGACATCTAAAAAACACAGATGAATGAAATGTGTACTGAGAAGGAGCTTCCCTGCTGCGACTGATCTCAGTTTATAATTCAGTTAGCTTAATAACAGTTGAAACTAGAAAAATACTCAGCTCATGTCACCTCCAACTGTGTATATCAATTCACCTGTGCTTATAGAAGCAGGTACATAGGAAGGGCAATAAGACGGGTGTCTACTCGATTTTATAAGCATATTCGGAGAAATCTGTGTCTGACATACAGCAGGGTCTTCACCAGTGCAATTGCTAGAAACCTGTTAGAAGCACAACATCAAATAAATGTTTCTCAGTCCTTCAGGATAGTAAACAAAAAAAGAACGCCATGTTTATTACGGTTCGCAGAAGCTCTCATCGTCAAACATCTTCAACCTGACCTATGTACTCAGAAAGAGACCGTATTTAACTTTTCCTCACCCTGGTAATCGTATCTAACTTTCTGCATATGTAAGTATATACTTTTCGTTTATTACTTGTGTAGTAAGCTGAGTTACTATGTAACCCTTAACCAAACCTATTTAACTGGATTTGCTGTAGTACCTGCCTATTTAGTACCTTACTTAACGTGTAAGTACTAATAACGAAACACTTATTGAAAGGACTGGTATTCAGGAATACATTCGAAGTAGCAATATATTTAAATCGAATGGATGTCATAGTGAATATGGAGGGAAAAGTTTATCCAACTTATCTGGCTAATATGGCTGAGATAAAGACTCTGAGGACGTGCGTGTTAACCAAGACAAATGGAGCCCAAAACGACGTCGAAGGCTGTTCGAATGTATACTCGTTAAAACAAAGTTCAAAACATCTTTAGCGTCCGGAGGTAAACTAGAAGTTTACTTAGTTAAGGGATAGTCAGTTCAATTTAATCTATTTATTTTGACCCTTGTTGCATTTTGATGCCAGGAAGGTGCAATACAATGACATTACCTCTTCATTAATTACTTACTGACTGTTAATTGCTTAAGGATTTTCCAGTTTTTTGATATAATAACGTAACATACTAGCTCCATAGCATACCCTTTTTTTGCACTCCTATCTTTTTGTTTCTTCCCCTCCCCCTTTTCACAGCTCCAGGATTTTCTATCTTATCAGATATAGGTTGCCACTGGTTTTGACCAAGGTTTGTGACTATTAAGCCTGTGTTTCCTTGAAGCACTAGATTTTGAATCGTTTCTTTCTACATACTTAGAGCATGTTATGTAATTAGTACTAATATTTCATTTCAATTTTAGGCTGTTTCTAGCTGATGAAAGGCTGTAAAATAAAATGAGCTCGTTTCATTCTGTAGATGTCTTTGTTGTTGCATTCTCCAAATTTGTCAAGGGAACTGAATGTATGAAATTCAACTATAATTAAGTAATGACATATACAAACAATTCCGATGCACGGATCGCTACGTGACTATTTTCACGTGACATCGAGCTTCTGAAAAATTTTCCCACTGCCGATTTACATGCCATTTAGTTGAGTGAAATTAGGAAACAATGTGTAGTACACCTTCCTCGGAACCAAAATGCAATTACGGCTAAAATAAGTAGATTAAATTAATTAACTAAACCTCTAGCTCATCTCCGGATGCTTAAGGTGTTTTAAGTTTTGTTTTAACGAGCATGCATCCGAGCAGGCTTGGAAGCTATTTTGCGCTCCATTTGTGCAGGTTAGCATGCACGTACTCAGAGTCCCTAGTTCAGCCATACTAGCCAGATAAGTTGACTAAACTTTTCCCTTATTCATTACCATTGCATTTGTTCCAGTTAAATATATTGCTTCTTCGAATATGTTCCTGAAACCAGTTCTTTTGATGTGTGTTTCGTTATCAGTACTTACACGTTAGGTAAGGTACAGGTTAAGCAGGCACAACCAGTTAAGTAGGGTTGGTCAAACGTAACAGTAATACAACCAACACACCCTACACATGTGTCAAGTGTAAGCGATTAACTGTCTTGGTAAAACCATAGAGTTTATAATAGTCAAATAGCGATTGTTTACTTGATTCTAAAATAAACACAACTAAACAATAACAAGGTCATTATTATCAGTTCATTAAATTAAGTTCCAATCACAGTCCCACCATATGACGCAAGTGTAAGGAAGTATTTCTATGTTTGAAGGTTGAGAACAAAATGGTAGGAAATACCCATGCGGTAATACTGAGATGTTTTTCACAGGTTAACTTCATATCCGGTAGTAATGATCAAAAAACACCATTAATTGAATTAAACACAATGAACGGAACTTAGGTGAGCAGTAAATAACCATGGAGAAATACTAGTAAAACTGTTACTGTAGGCTTTAAGAACAAATAGTACGTTAATTTTTCAATGAGAAGCTTGTGTCATGAGGAGTAGCGAATTCCAACGCTAGCTGTAATCGTGAACAGTAGTTATGCTCGACGTATTGCCATAATTGTTTAAATATTATCACCACAAATATACTTATCGTAATTTCTAACGATAATGGTCAGTTATGGAATGTACAATGCTTGACAAGTTCATCTTGTAACCTATGTGCAGTTGTAATTGGTTATTTTCCTAGACACCCAGTGTCATATGAGACAGTTATTTGACACAAAAAGTATGAATCTTATCAAATGTTTTTGGGAGCCATGCACACCTGTAAATAACCTATCTGAAGTTCATGATGTTTGACTGTAATAATATCGTCTGTTTTTATGAACAGTGGTCAAGACGTCACCTAATGTATTGTGCGTGTGGTGGAAAGCTTACATAAATTTGGTGGTATTGTGTTCTCCGAGCTGGACTGCTTAATCGTGGAGTTTTCGTTGTCATTCTAGACAACATTAACAGCACAAAATTCAGAGAGAAATGAGCGATAAGTTTCTTTCCCCAATGTACTTAATAGCTTATCCTGACAGCCTTGCATGTGAGTGGTTGTTTCTGACAAGGTCTTGTCATTGTCTCCATATTCATTTTGATTGGTTGTCTTGGTGACCCGAAAAGTGACCTTATTGTTGTTTCTTATACGTTAGTAGACTGGGTCACTATCAATGAATCTTTTGATCACTGACTGACGTGAATATCAAGCTTCTAAAAATCCTCTGGCATTCTTTGTATTTCTTTTTCAGGAGTCTCACACTTTCCAGTCAAATTCATATCCACAACTGTCTGCATGCATTGATATGAGCGAAGATATGTCACGACACTTCACTACCAGTTGATTTCACGTAGACAGAATGATAACGGAACTTCCACGACTAAATAATACAGCTCAAAAGACTCAACACCGCCAAAATTACCTTCTTGAGCTACAAAATTTCTCCATTATCTCAAAGCTTACACACGTTACGGACTATATTAGTATCAATCTCAGCGTGTTTGACGTAAAATAATTCCAACCCTTAATTCAATTCTCTACTTGTGGTCTCCTCACAGAAACAAAGACTTACAAGTGACATCAGAAGTGAGCACTTCACTTCTGTTTGTGGAATAGGGGTACGAAAGTACCGCGTAAACCAACAGAGGTACTAAATAGTGTATGACAGTCAGATGTAGGCCTGTCAGACCGGCCTACTTTGTCGATCACTTGAGCCTACAAGACAGGAAAGAAGTCCTCTGGTGACAGTCATAAGAAAAGCGGCTTAATAAACACGGTTTCCAAAATCCCATAGTTATCCCGTGTCTAACTAGACGTCAAGAAAAACAGGCAGGTTTTAGACCTGGGTGAATCGAATTTTCACTGTTCTACAGATTATGGAACAGAGGCGTACCTGCTGGTGACCCACACTTACCATGTCTTGACCTCAAGGCGGCATTTAACCCTACCAGCTGTGAAGTGCCGTGGCAGTGCCTGATTGCTAATGGAGTGTCGAGAAAGTACATAACTCTAAT